AGCCCCCACCCTTAAAACTAGCACCTGCTCTGTGCCCAGCACAGTCCTCTGGTTTGGCCCAACAGGACTGGCCTACACGGTGAGGCTGGCTTCCCTCTTGTGCCCAGCCAGGCCCCCAGGACTCACTCACAGGTGGTGTTGCCCTGCATGCTGACCACACACTTGGCATCCTGGCTGGTCTCACGGGCATTGAAGGGCCGAACCCTGACTGCCACTTTCACCGAGGCACCAGCCATAGCTCCAGACGCTCCTACCCTCCTCAGCTGGAGGTCAGAGAAAGAGGGGTGATCAGAGCCACTAGGAAGACTCAAACTTTGCTTCCCGGCTTCTCTTTGAAACCATCTCTCTGCTCCCCTTCCCCAGCTATCCAGCCCCTCGTGGACCCAGCTTCTGTCCCTCTGATCTTCCTCCCAAGTGTCACTACTTTAAGAGGCTCCAAACATATTCTTGCCTCTCTCCCCAGCCATATCCCAGCTCTCAGGGACCTGGGCCATCACCCCAGAATTACCTGGTGTCCTGGCCCCAGACCAGGGGGGCTGTATCAGTTCTGGCTGTCACCGGCCCTCGTAGGGGGAGCCCCATCCTACACTTGGGGCCTGGCCACACCAGCAGGGACTGTAGGGGAAACCCTGGTTGTGGGGGAAGACTGGTTAGGAGGCACCTGTGGCTCCAGAGTCTGTCTGGGATTCTGCATTTAGAGAGCAAGAGACAGGGGGTAATGTTAGGAAAGGTAGGGATAGCTGCCTCTCTGGAGTGGCAGAATGCAATGTGAATCCAAGGGCAGGAATGGTGATATTTTTATTCCTCATCACTCACAAGTGTACTGAACGTTCAGAGAGAAGAGAGAGAGAGAGACAGAGAGTGAAGCTGGACAGAGAGCAATTCAGAGAGGGACACATGGGCAGAGACACTGAGGGTGGCAGGATGGGGGAGAGGAAGAACAGAAAATCAGACAACAAGAAAATGAAAGAAGTAAGTCAAAAGGCAAGACTGAGGTCATGCTATAAGATAGAATGGGAAAAGGAAAGGAGAGATACAGTAAATATCGAACCCAGAGATTGTGAATAGGCAGAGAGGGGGCTCTCAGGCCAAAGCACAAACTCGGAGCCCCGGAGATGAGAGGAGAGAAAATCCCAACCATAAAATCTAATCTATAATTCCCTTCCAGGACCAGCAAGGGAGAAGTAGAAAGCAGTTCCCAACTCGTGTCCACAGCGTCCACACAGGAGGCAGGGGCTGCTGATGGGAAAAGTCCAAGAGCTGCAGGTACACAAGGCCTGCTTTTTGGGCCTCAAACCCCTCGTCCAGCCCTCAGCACTTCCTCCTCAGGATCCAGGACAATGGCTAGGGTAGGGTGGGGTCATCCTGTATCCACCACACCAACCCCCAGGGCTCCACTGCAGGGGGAATCAGAGTCTTGTATCTTAAGGAGGGGAGGTTTGACAGCTCCTTGAAATGGGAGAGAAAGGAAAGGAAGCAGGCTGGTCCCAGCCCCAGCCTGGGGCTAAGACTATGGCGTCCACGGCCCTGGAGATGGTGCCAGGCTGGAGCCCAGGAATGTAGGTGATCGGGTGCCCACACCCTGGGAGGAGAGGCTGAGCAGCCCACGCCCACGGACAGCCAGGTGAAGACTACAGAAAGGACTCAAGGATGCCGGGTCCCCACCTGTGGACTCAAAGAACCTCAAACCTCTGTCATGCTCGGCCTCACCTCACCAGCCTCCCTGGGCAGGGTATGGGCTGGTCGGTCTCAGGACAGGAAGGGAGTAGCCGAAATCAGAGGCGAGCTCAGGAAGAATAGCCCTGACCCCCAGACCCTGACCAGGGGACCAGGCGGGGAGGGAAGGACACCGGCAGGGACACACAATCGTGACTCTATTGTAACTACCAGACCAGGGAAAGAATGGCAGACTAAAAGCGCGGTAAGAGAATAGGTAGATCCAAGGGGTTGCCGACGCACCTTTAAGGGCACTGCAGGGTACAAGGAAAACCCCGCGGCTGGGGTGGGGCCAACCTACCCGACAAGAGGCCTTGGGCCACCTGCACCTCACCCACCCCCCGGTTTTCCAACAGGCCCCTGCCCGGCCTCTCCGGGCGGCCGCGCGGACCCCGTCCCACAGTCCAGCCAAACGACGGCTGCCTGGGGCCTGGCACCTCTCTGCGCCTCCGCGGGACAAACAGCACATGATCCGAGCTCTCGCGCCTAGCCGGCACTCGCTGGGTCGTGCAAACAGGACCCCGGCTCCCCGCCCCGCAGCCCAGCACATTCCTCAGCGGGCGTCCCTTCCCTTCCCCCTCCCCAGCTCTCACCTCGCAGCGGCGGGGCTCCCCGCGCGGCTCCGCGAAGTGCAAAGGGACAAACTTTTCGGGAATCGTGAGACTGGAGCGGTGGCGATCCGGGGCCGGTTCGGGGCTGCCCCAGCCCCTCGCCGGGTCCCCGGGCGAC